GGACTTGTCAATCATTAAACTTATATTTCGTTACCTCCAAACGTTCGCAGCTACAACAACGAGCGGTTTTATCGTATTCGTGAGAGGGACAATACTTTTGGTTCCAAAATGGATGGCATCGATACTCGATCAATCCAGCATCATTAGTTGGGATCTAAGAAGACAAATATGAAATTAGTCAAATATATAAAATGTAATGTGCAAGAATGTAATAAGGTGTTTAAAAAACAAAAAACAAAATGTAATAAGGTGATTGTATATAGTTGCTTACAAATTGGTGACAAACTTCGCATTTTGGATGAGTAAGCTCTTTGAAACAAAGTTTATGATATGGCTTGGTTCCTGAGAGAGAGAACTTGAATCAAGAGAGAAGACAAAACACACAACCTTAAATTAGTCACTTCAAAACACAAATGTACATATATTCTAATCATATGTATATAGTTGTAAGTATACCTCATGTTCAGTGATAGGGTAACTACAAGAATGGCAACGGAAGCATTCAGGATGAAAGAATGTGCCCATGCATCCTAGATAGTTCCCCATTCCAATATCGCGATTGCAACCGCCACATATTCTGCTAAAAATCGAGCAAGCAAACGTTACGCAAAACGTTACCGAAAGCACTACTACATGTATAAAAAAAAGTGAAAATAGTTTTCATTCAATCAAATTTCAGGAAAATGTATTTTCTTTTTTTTCACTTTATACCTTTTTGTAAGATGTCACGATGAAAAGTTCGAACCAAAATTTTTAGTGAAATTCTTGACGTGACGTTTCTATCTGTTGAGCTAATGTCAACTGAAATTTTCACTTTTCATTTTTTATATTCTAAAACACTTTTTTTTTGTAGCAAAAAGGAATTTGATTACTGTTACAACTTGAAGTTTGAAATTGGAGAACAACTCAATTCCAATAAATTCAGTTTGAAATATGGGTTTGAAACTGAATAAGAGAATGTGTTTTAATTTGTTGTACCTTTGTCTTCGTCTGCATTGATAAGAAGGTTCATAAGGTGGAATGTAAGATGATGGATTCAAGCCACCGTGAAATGGCCTTGGATTGTTATCCATAGACCAACCATATCCTGCGCAATTTATTTAATAAAAATTAAAGCTCTTATGTATAAAGAATAACGTTCTAATTAACTTTGATTTTTTTTTCGAATTTAAATTTAAATTCAAATTCGTGAATACATAGATAGAGATACCATGTGGGAGCTTCGTATCGTCAGCTAAAGATAGTGAAATTGCACGGTCGAGTTCTTCTTTGTCCCGTGGAACCCTTGAGCGATCGTCCTGATTCATTAACATGACCAATCCAAAAAATTTAACCATTTTATAACACTATTTTATATTTTTATGGTTGTTCAATTGTAAATTATTCAAAAATAACTCTTCTATAATGACGTCAGGAAAAAATTGATGACATCATTTAACACACAAATTTTCCTTTTTGTTTTAAAAATTCCACTACCAATTAATGCTATATATATAACTCATCTTTTAAATATTCTAATGACGATATTACATATATAAATATACGATCAGAACTAAATATCAATGGTAGTGCTTAGGGTATCAAAATCCAATCCAGCTCTTTCAACATGCAAAAAAAATTAAGACACTTCTTTTTTTTTTTTGTCAATTCATTATTGTCAATAACTCAGCCTACGAATAAAATAGTCCTAACTTTAGATGACAAAAAAAGAAGTCCTGACTGAGAACTGAACCGACATAAATTTCGATTTTGTCATCCTTGATAGTGCTCAAGACCACATTGTCACATCCTTTCAATTTGAGCATTAAAAATCAATGAGACTCACGACAAACAATAAAATATTAGCCGTCCATATAATTTTGAGTTCTCATGGATGTGACAATTTTACAGAATGTACAAGACCCGTGATAATTCAAATAACACAAGGAAAAGAAAACAGTAGTAAAATTCACATGTCTTTTGTGTATAAATATCAATAATCACATGTCTATAGTATAGGTGTAGATTAAAATAGAAAAAATGAAAAAAAGGAGATTAAAATTAAACTAATAATTAAGAAAATAATTACCAAAGAGGAAGGAGGTAGAGGAAAGACCATATTCTCGTCCTCTTGAAACTGAGGAGGATGATGATTAGTGCGAGCACCACCACCACCATTAGAGCCACTCTTGAAAAGCTTACTCACCCATTTCATCAACTTCCATTTCTTTTCTCCATATGTTGACGAAGATGACGACCCAACTTCCCCTATAATTATAAGAAAAAATATATAATTTGGTTGGAAACATTGCACATGGGCTTACGTAAAACTTATTAACCAAAATGGATATTCAGTGCATAATCTTTTTTAAAAAAGAGAGAATTTGGAAAGAAAAGAAAACGTACCAAAGATACAAGGATTGGAGATATGGCTGACACGAGCTACACCATAG